TCATCCCTAGGAAAAAGAAGCGTGGGACAGGGAGGATGAGGCAACCAGAAAGCACATTATGTGGCAAATGGCAGTGGGAAACCAGAGGATTGGGATGCTTACAAAGACCCACAATGGGCAACAAAAAAGAAATACGGAGAGAGGAGATTAAATATGAGGGTAAGCTAGGCAGTAATATAAAGGAGGACTTGTAAGAGTTTCTCTAGATATATAAAGTGCAAAAGATGGGCAAAAGTGGACATTGCACCACTGGAAAATGATGCTGGAGAGATAGTAGTGGGAAACAAGGAAATAGCTGAAGAACTGAATAATTACTTTGCGTCAGTCTTCACAGTGGAAGACACGAGTATTATCCCAACAATTCAAGAGAGTCGGGGACAGAGCTGAGTATGGTGGCCATCACCAAGGAGAAGGTGCTAGAAAAACTGAATGACCTGAAGGTGGATAAATCACCTGGACCAGATGGACTACACCCCAGAGTTCTAAAGGAGATAGCTGAAGAGATAGTGGAGGCATTAGTGGTGATCTTTCAGAAATCACTAGAGTCAGGGAGGGTCCCAGAGGTCTGGAAAATTGCGAACGTGACACCCCTGTTTAAAAAGGGAGTAAGGCAGAAGGTGGAAAATTACAGGCCGATTAGCCTAACCTCGGTTGTGGGTAAGATTTTGGAGTCCATTGTGAAGGAAGAGATTTCTGAATACTTGGAAGTGCATGGTAAGATAGGGCAAAGTCAGCATGGTGTCATCAAGGGGAGGTCATGCCTGACAAATCTGTTAGAATTCTTTGAGGAGGTAACAAGCAGGATAGACCAAGGAGAGCCAATGGATGTTATTTACCTGGACTTCAAGAAGGCCTTTGACAAAATGCCACACAGGAGGCTGCTGAGTAAGATAAGGGCCCATGGTGTTAGACACAAGGTGCTAGCATGGATAGAAGATTGGCTCTCTGGCAGAAAGCAGAGAGTGGGGATAAAAGGGTCTTTCTCAGGATGGCGCCCGGTGACAAGTGGTGTTTCACAAGGGTCAGTGTTAAGACGACAACTTTTCACTTTATACATTAATGATCTAGATGAAGGAACTGTGGGCATTCTGGCTAAGTTTGCAGATGATACAAAGATAGGTAGAGGGACAGGTAGTATTGAGGAGGTTGGGAGGCTGCAGAAGGATTTGGACAGGTTAGGAGAGTGGGCAAAGAAGTGGCAGATGGAGTACAACGTGGGAAAGTGTGAGGTCATGCTCTTTGGTAAGAAGAATAAAAGCATGGACTATTTTCTAAATAGGGAGAAAAATCAGAAGGCTGAAGTGCAAAGAGACTTGGGAGCTCTAATCCAGAATTCTCTCCAAGTAAACTTGCAGGTTGAGTCAATAGTTAGGAAGGCAAATGCAACTTTGGCATTTATTTTGAGAGGACGTGAATGTAAAAGCAGGGATGTACTTCTGAGGCTCTATAAGGCTCTGGTCAGGCCACATTTGGAGTATTGTGTGCAGTTTTGGGCCCTGGAGCAGGTTCAGAGGAGGTTCACGAGAATGGTCCCAGGAATGAAAAGCTTAATATATGTGGAATATTTGAGGACTCTGGGTCTATACTCAATGGAGTTTAGAAAGATGAGTGGGGATCTAATTGAAACTTATAGAATACTGAATGGTCTGGACAGAGCGGATGTTGGGAAGATGTTTCCATTGGTAGGAGAGACTAGGACCCGAGGGCACAGCCTTAGAGTAAAGGGAAGACCTTTTAGAACGGAGATAAGGACAAACTTCTTCAGCTAGAGAGTGGTGAATCTATGGAATTCACTGCCACAGAAGGCTGTGGAGGCCAGGTCATTGAGTATATTTAAGATGGAGATAGTTAGGTTCTTGATTGCCAAGGGAATCAAGAGTTACGGGGAGAAAGTGGGAGAATGGGGTTGAGAAATGTATCAGCCATGATTGAATAGTGGAGCAGACTCAATGGGCTGAATGGCCTAATTTCTGCCCCTATGTCTTACGGTCTTATGGAATCTAGTCACTGTTACTGTGATGAATTTCCATTGAGGAGGGAAATGGATAATTCAACCCTAATCCATCTGGGGACCAGGTGCCGTTGCTATGACATCTCCAAACAGAAGGAACGAAACTTAGAACCGTTATAAACTGAGCATGTTGTCTGGATTTTTTTTTCCATAGAAAAGGGCTGCATTGTTTCACTGATATACCTGGCTGAACTGTCTGTAAAATACACCGAGGAGGATTAGCTTTCAGACATACTACTCAACAGGAAAATTTTTGATGTGGTTGCAACATGTTTAATTTGAATCACTATAAAAGAGGTCAAGTTTGAAGAAACTTTATTGCAGACAGAAGAAGGCTCAAGACCGATCAGCCGGACTCAGGCCTACGGTCAATTCCGGATGGACTAGCCACGTTGGGGATTGGAAATGTTCCAGCCAAATTATAGTGATCTTGGTCTGGAGGTGTCTGCAGTCTCAAAGGCGGGTCAAGAATGTTGATATGGCCTGTCGTTCTCGCTGGAAGGAGAAACCATGTGGAGGATTGTCAGGTTTTAGCCAAATCCAAGGGGTAAATGAACTGAAATAGAAGTTACAGGAAAAGCTGAGCAGGTCTGGCAGAATCTGAACATAAAAATCAGAGTTAACGTTTTGGGTCCGGTGACCCTTCCTTAGAACATACTCAAGATATTGGCATGAGTGATTTAGGTAACCTAATGGTATCAACCAAATCCATTTGTTTTGGGTCCGAATTAATCATGGTTTGGACAGAAAGTTGAGGTTTTGACTTTGTTTTTTTTTGATAAAGGTTTGGTTTTCCTAATACATTGTGGTGAATGAGTATGTTTGGATGGGAGCTGAGGTTAAGTCGCAGAGTAAATTAAATCAGACAAACCAATCAAGGTGTTGTGTCATTTTGACAAACTTAGAGGATTGGTATCAAGTCATGAGGGGGTTTATTTTAATAAACAGGCATGCGATTGAGCCAAATGCTGTGTCTGTTCCTTATAAAATCCTGATGTCCAAGAACAGAAATGGAAATAGGAGGCAACAGATAACAGTTTGCAAATGGTGAACAAGGGGAGCATGGAAGATTTAGGTGTTTGAGCGTAGTTGTGAACTATTAGTGCTCATGGCTGCTGTGGCGGAAGTAATGCGTAAGCAGAAATTTAAACTCAGTTGTTACTGATGCAGAAGCATAGATTTGCAAGTTTCTAGACTTGCAAAGCTTGATTTTATGAGATGAGAATGTTTGAACTTAAGAGCTACTGTTATCAATGGCCACCTCTAACCGTGCCTGCTAGTCTGGTTCATTCATGTTCTTCTTTCAGATGCAAGGCAGAGTATACGTCTCTTGTCCACAGCCACTGACAGATCTTCAACAGAGGTACTGGAAGACCATGGGGTCACCCAAGGATGGCTAAACAATTGCACTCTGCTCTCCCTGCTCACCCAGTTCTAGAGCCAACAGCAAACCCATGATAGCTGCTGGTTTAATCTGAAAGTTATGGCTCCATGTCCTGCTCCAACATTCTGCCCATACCCCATGCCCCTAACAGGGTGCAAAATTCACCTCTGGGCCAATTCATGGGTTGGCACTTTAAAATGGCATTGCATCAATAACGCTGATGCTTGAAACCTGTAAATGTTCTGAATGTTGGGTGGGGTCTTAATTTTTGTGTCTTGTAACAATAAAGACATCTTCATCATGGAGAAATGTAGAATTGAAATTCCAACAAGACAATCTTATAGTGCTTAATTTTCTTTTAGAAAAAGGAGTGACTGCCTTGATATTAGCAGTGGTGAGATACAAAGAGATTCCCACACGCTGTGGACTGTTAAGCCTACAGCAGCTGGAGGAAGCATGCCTGCTCCTTTCAGCACACAAGCAGTGGTGCTGGGTCCCTGGCACTGTGAGGCAGCAGTGCTAACTGCTGAGCCACCATGCTACCCACAGAGCTTGATGGGGGTGAACTGTAAATGAAAATGCCCACATCTCCATAATATCAGGCACGCATGGATTAGCATGGAAATCCAAAAGTTGCAGACTATCACCCAGGTTTCTGACACAGACTGTGGCTCCCTGCTTCCCGCAGGGTAGCGATCACTGAAATCAGTGAGAATTTCAACTTTCTCTCCTCTACACTACCAATACAAACTGAGAAAAGCTTACAACTTGATCAAATTTACCACGCAACAAATTCAGCCCTGCAAGATTAATTTTACATTCATAGAGAGCTAGTAAACAATTCATTATAATATCTTTAAAGTGAGCTTTTTTTAAGAAGTTCCTGTTTCCTGGTTTGGTGTCCATGAAAATCCTTTAATGTGCCTGGCAGTTTGGAGAGCCTTACTGCATTTGGATAGCATTACTGCAACTTCATGTAGTGAACACCCAAGGAAGAATGCTTATCATCAGTTACAGAATCCACGCAGAGCAACAGAAATGTAATTCAAACCGGACAGATTGATAAAGTTTTTTGTCAAGTCTCCTTGCTTCTGCACTGACCATAAACTCTGGGCCATCGAAAAGAAATCTTTCAAATATTACTCTCCAGAATTACCATGAGAAAATATCCTTGTTTCTCTGATCTGATATATAACCAATCCTGTACTTGAAATACATTCCATATGTTGTGTTGACGTGAAGTCAAATGTATTTTGCAAGCACAATCTGGAGAGTATAACTTCTGTTTAATAAGCCTGCATGCTCCTTAAACATTCTGAAGGTGTATTTTCTCAAAGATTTATATTTTTAAAGGTCACAGATTCATGATGAATATGAAGTATATGTGCTTACTGCTACCTCACTCAAGGTGCTGAAGTGATTCTTCTTTATAAAATGATCACAGCTGAATTGCTGTCTTGCATGCAGTATGCCACGAATTTGTAAAATAATGCTGCCATACAGTCATAACCTTCCGCACCCTGTAGTGTTTCTTCCACATTTGAATTTCAACTTGCAAAATTAAACTCTTCATGCCTATGTTTCATGCATGACTGAATTAGTCACCTGCATTTCATCCAGTTTGGACTGGATATCTGGTGGAAAATCTCCCCCACCTGAGATGAAAGGGTCAAACGGTTCAGCTCCAAAAATATCTCTTCCTGCAAAGAACACAGAGCAAAGTTATAGACTTTACAAAACGAAATGATGACAATGAAGAAATGAGGAAATAAAGAAATGAATGAAGAAATCACAGCAGCTATAATTTGTACATTTGATGTCCAAACATATTAGTTTATGTTATCATTTCAATAATTATTTTGGGCTAAATGCCAACATAAACATTAATATTCTGAAGTCAACTTATATGCAAAAAGAAGTTGGAAAAATAAGGTAGCTTTTGAAGCCTCATTTGATTCTACAATGAAAGATGTCAGATTTACTTAAGCACTGTACACTGCAGACAATCCATAAAAGCAATGGTGTATCAAAAGTCTCAAATTACATCAGATATGATAAATCAATAACTGTCACATTTCACTGTCAGCATATATATGATTCAAAACATGTTAAGGCTGATCAAATAAATATTTCAAATAATTCAAAATACAAAAGGCATGTTCACAAAAAAATAATCTTACTGGTCTCAGAAGATCTAACAGGTAAAGGAGGAAGTTCTGTGCCATTGCTGGATGGTGTTGGCAAAAGAGGCGATGCTGGTGAAAATGGAACCATGTCAAATAGATCTGTGCTTGGAGAGCAAGGCGTCATTCCTCTCTATAATTCAATTAAAGGTATTAGCAGAGACTCAGAATAATGACCACTATCAATATAGCTGATTTTATTAGATAAATATGTAATTAACATTCATATTGTATAACAAACAATGCATGCTGTGATCCTTTGCAAGCTGTACCATGCCGAAAAACATGACTCTGGTAGAAACTGCAAACATTCTGTATCTTGATGGATGAAATAAAATGAAATGAAACAACATAGAAGTAAATTGTGTGGGTTTCAAGTAAAAGTTACAAGTTATAGAAATTTTCACTTGAAGTTTCTTTCTTTGAGAAATGTTTTCAGGAAGACTCACATGGCTCTTATTTATTAATATAAATCTAATCGGCATAATTTCCTTCTATAGAAAGTAAGATTGCTTCAGGGATAATGCAATGTTAAAGGTTGCAAACGTTGAGTTAATTGAGTGTGGCTTTATGCATATTCTAGGTATGATTCAGAGCCTCTGATGTTAACTGAAGCACTTGCTTAAATTATTTCCAATGGAGCCGGTTCCGTGGTACAATGGTTAGCACTCTGAACTTTGAATCCAGAAATTTGAGTTCAAATCTTGGTGGAACCTCAAATTGTCTTGTCCCAATGCTCATTTAAAGAAGGCACTTGTGGCTCAGTTGTAGTGTCCCTACCTCGTGAACCAAGACACAGAGGGTCAAATCCTGCCTGCTCCAGAGGTGTATAATAACATCCCTGAACAGGTTGATTAGGGAAAATAAGTTAAATATTAAAAAAAAAATTAAATTGTTTCCATCTCAGAAGAGGATTAATCTATAAAAAAGGATTTATATTTGTATTGGACTGTGAATAAATGGATGTAGAAGACAGACTGGCTCCTGTTTCTTCCTTTACTACGTGAGGGGAGGCGATGGCCTGGTGGTATTATCACTGGACTGTTAATCCAGAGACCAAGGTAACGTTCTGGGGACTCCGGTTCAAACTCTGCCATGGCAGATGGTGAAATTTGAATACAATAAATATCTGGAATTAAGAGTCTAATGATGACCATAAATCCATTGCCAATTGTTGGGGAAAAGCCCATCTGGTTCACTAATGTCCTGTAGGGAAGAAAACTGTCATCCTTACCTGGTCTGGCCTACATGTGACTCCAGACCCACAGCAATGTGGTTGACTCTAACTGCCCTCTGGGCAATTACAGATGGGTAATAAATGCTGCCTGGCAGCAATACCCTCATCCCATGAATGAATAAAGGAAAGAAAACATTTACGAAGTTAACAAAAGAATAGTAAATTTAGTCAGGCCAGTTCAGCTTTTCATTTATTTCTGCATTAGGCTTCCTTTTTAAAAAAACAATGCATTTAGTGTGTATGATTAGGGTCTAATGGAAGGATTATTTATGGTGTTTGAAGTGGAGTTCATTAACCCTCCGCGATGACAGTTACCTCGAAGTGGTTTTCGCTATATTGAACAATTAGTGGCTGCAGGGTGTGTTTGCTGTTCACCTAAGGTTGCTATACAGATAGCCTTTTGAAATTGGAGGACCAGAAGAAGATCCTTAGCACTGAAGGGACAACAGTTTGCAGTTCAGATAAGAGATAGTGTCTGTATGAGGTACACTTTCTCCCAATTTTACAACTTCGATGTTTAAAGAAATGTCTTGAGGAACCAAGCTCCCATTGTGGACATGAAACCCTTTTAAAGGCAGTGTGTGAACATAGCTAAGGCTACATAGGCAGGAATCATAGCCTGCCCGCTTGAGTGAATGAAATACTCCCTTTATGTGAGCGTGAGAAACTCGGAGTCACTTCTCACATGGTTCAGATCCATGTGAGGCAAATGTAGAGGTAAATGAGCTACATGAGCTTTTGAGATTGTTCCTACATGTTTAAGTAGCTCAGTGTTGGTTGGTTTTACAATGATCACAAAGTTATTCAAGGTGGTCTTGTGGTAGTATCCCTACCTCTGAGCTGGAAGATCCAGCTTCAGCTACAAGTGAGTAGGTACAGGTGGCAAGTAGGTGAAGGGGTATAGGCTACAAGTAAGTGGGCAAGTGGGTCAATTTGTTTCTGGGGCAAGGTTGAGCTGTTGAGTCGGGTGTTCAGCAGGATTGTTATGTGAACGGTGCACTGAGGTCAGTTTCAGTTTGATTTTTAGAGCAGGTGTTAATCCCTTTAAGGTAACCCTAAGTGTCTAGCTCTCAGTCAGTATTGGGGGACTTCATCGTAGAATTCTAGACACTGGGTAATTACCCTTTGGAATTTTCAACATCCTGGACAGCTGCCACATAGAGTCAGGACTTCATAGAGATCCCCAGTCCCTTTTCTTCCCCTTGCTTTCCCTCAGGTCCTCCAAATCTGCATGTGCCAAGAAGTCTCACCCACAATACCTCCCTTCTCCCCTCAACTTCACTGTCATATGGATCATGGCTCTTTGAGGACTTCAGGCAATCTCATTAGCGGACTCAGCTCATGGTGGTGCTGCCACGATTAGAGCTGCCAGCCAATCAGATTTTTTTCTGAGGAAGGGTCCAGACCCGAAGCGTCAGCTTTCCTGCTCCCCTGATGCTGCTTGGCCATCTGTGCTCATCCAGCTCTATGCCTTGTTATCTCAGCCAATCAGATTGATAGGCAACTTTGGGTGGTGGGACCTCCTTATCAGATAGATCATAAGGCCAGCCTTCACCCAATTTACATTTCTTACGACATTAAAGAGCTAGGGAAGAGCTCACCTGGATGGGGATGATTTTTAGTGAGTTTTTCAGACGTCATCTGTAAAGTCTTGCCCCAAAAGTTGTTAAATATCCCAACAGCAAATTGTGGCCTAATGTTCAGTAATGGTCCATGGTTTATTTTTTGCATCTTATAATGTAATCTGAAACTCAGTTCTGTAACTTATTCAAACATACTTTAAACACTTTAAGTAGCTAGAAACACATTAATATGGCAATATGAAAAGGTACTTTTGATGATTAATAGTTTAAATTACTACTCTAAAGTGTACTTTATTATTTAATGGAAATCACAATCTGAAGATTTAAAAAAAGCTAAAAATATGTACATGGTCTAAAGTTCTGATTTGTGTGGATGTGCTTAAAGATAGATGTGCCCCTACATGTTTGTACAGCACTGTAATCTCTTATATCAGTTGATAGTGTCAACTAGGAGTTAGTTATGTTGAAAAATGTAATTGCAAGACAGAACGACCTAAAAGTCAAGTTGACTAACTGCAATCCCTGGACACTAACCCAATGATATGCCTCAGATCAATCCACATGAACATCTTATAGCGATGTTCTATTCTTCAAGCTGTTGAAACACAACTTGTTTCAGTAAGAATTCCAAGTTGCTGCCAACTCCATAGAATTTGAGACTGTGTGGGAGTATAATTGCTGTAAATATAACACTGCTCATCACAGACTGCAGCTGTTTAACTTGGATTTGAATGTAAATTAGAACGAAAGCCCATATTCCAACTATCGTTGCTCTTAAGAATTATGAAGAGCTGCAGATAAAATACTAAACAATCATCTTTAAAAAATAAAATTCTCATTTGCATTTAAAAACCGTTTTGCTGAACACCACTGTATTGACAGTGACTTGATAAGCTTATCAAAATGATTTTGACATTTTAAGATAACTAGCTGTGCAGAGCAGCAGGCAATATATTACAATCAATTGGTTCAGTTGTGTATTGCATGGTATGTCTTTTTCTCATGCAACAATTGGGTATTTTAACTTTTGTGCATTAGTGGGGTGTAAAAGGAGTGCAAAATAATCCTGTAGACAAATGTCTGAATTATTCAATTTTGTTCTTAGATGCCCACAGTTAAATGTCATTATCTGTTAGCAATTATCTCATCAAAGTACAAACATGTTTCATGCATTGGATGCAAAACAAAAAACTGGTCAAGCTGTTAGCAAACTGTAGAAGTCAGAATGCTGGAAACCCTCCAGATCTTCCCCCATCACAACTGACTTCATGAGGCATGCACACAATAAGCAATGCAACAGAATTGTTAATTAGTAGAAAACATGCATGTTCAAATTACACGCGGTCGTGGAATACTAAATCCATTCATTGCTCGTTGGGTTGTGTGTTTGGGTGAAGGTGGTGTCAGTAGACTCTCTGTTAAGCTGGAGGCAGAAGGACTTGTTGGGCTAAGCGTAAAAGAGGTTATTTCAGGAAATGACACATTTTCCATATTATGGGACCAGAAGAAAGCTGATGGCCTCTGACACAACTGCAGTTGTTTATTAGAACTGAAATGCAACAGCTGTGAAGAAAGTGACAAAGAGAAGGAACTGTTGAATGTGAGAAATTAACATTTATTCAATCACTCGTTCACTACAGTTTAAAACGTGCATTTGATTGTTAATGAAAAAGTTGAATTTAATTGGCTCAATAAAGTAAGTACAATGATGGTTTGCAGAAAAATATTAACAATTTTTCCAACATTAGGATATTGTACCCTTAATCTATTCACTCAATTTGCATTTTTTAAAAAGGTAGAGAAAACTTCATGATCTCTGGGAAATAATTCAGGATTTGACAATTAATACAAATTCAATTCCCAAAAGAAAGTGCTGGATCTCAGAAGATAGTTTGTTTCTTCTTGGTATAATTTTAAAAAAGGGGTAACTGCTTTTCTCTTATCACATTAAGTGAATGGCATTGGTAATATAACTGGGCTAGTAATCCAGCGGCTCAGGCTAATGTCCAGGGGAAATGGGTTCAAATCACACCATGATAGCTGGTGGAATTTACATTTAAGTAATTATTTGGAATATAAAGCCAGTTTCAGTAATTGTAATCATGACTAATCATGACATTGTTGCGAAAACACGTCTGGATCACTCATGTCTGGCTTACGTGTGACCCTAAACCATAGTCATTAACACTTAACTACCTTCTAAAATGATGTGGTAAATGCTAAACCAATGCTCTGTTTAAGGACAATTACCACATCTACAATGCTGTGAACAGTTTTGGTCCTCTTTTTAACTAAGGAAAGATGTACTGGCAT